ATAGATAGATAGATAGATAGATAGATAGATAGATAGATAGATAGATATGCTAGCTGAGGAATTATGGGAGTTGGAAGTCCACAAGTCTTAACATTGCCACGTTTGGAGACCTCTGGCCAACATGAATCCTTCCCTACTTATCCAGTTAGAAAAAACCACCCTGGTCCAAGAATGAAATCCTGTGTTGCTTCAGTGTTCCTGAAGGAGAAACTTGGTCTAGGATCTATAAAGTGCATTGCCAAAAAAAAAAAAAAGTGGGGGGAGGGAGATAGAACCAGGGAAGAACGTGTGGATTCCAGTCATCCCAGTAGATATCACGGGTGGTTCAGCCACAAAGAGAAAGCAACGGAAGCTGCTCAGGCCACGTTCTGGTTTCCCAGCTGTCCCAGCGACCTTCTAGTCTTCTGCCTCCGTCCACATGATTCCAGAAAACATTTTGGCACATGGCACCGGGAGAGAAGCAGGAGAGGGCTTGCCTCGGGAGAAGGGAAGAGTGGGCGGCAGGCAGCCCCACCGAGGAAGCTGTGCCCCCTCCCCAAGCAGCCTCAGCAGCGTGTGCCAGCCTGCCAAAGGTGCCCATCACACGTTTGTGTATATCCCTCCCTTCTCTTGCCTCCTCCACGGAGAGCCTTCCAGCCCGGAGGTTCCACGCTTCCTTCCTTCAGCTCCATCTTCGGAACTGCAGCTCCGAAGGCAAGTCCACTTCCGGTGCGCTCCGGAGAGACCCTTGAGATGAGGGGGAGAGCCGGGATAAGAGTCACGGGGGGGGGGGGGGGGGGCGGGGCCCCCCCCGCCGGGGGGAGGGGGGCTTTTGCAGAGGGTCCCAGAAAGGGAGCCAAGCTCAAAAGGATTCCAAGCTCTTAGGAGCCTTTCCCCGCCAGCCAGGACATGTCTCCAGTTCTGCAGAAAAGACAAAATGGCAGCTGGGTTATCGCAGCCTCCCTGAAGCCCAGGCAACGCTGGCCAAGAGACCTGGCCAGGGATGGATGACAGACTGACAGACAGACAGACGATAGATAGATGATAGACAGATGATGAGAGAGAGAGAGAGTAGACAGACAGACAGACAGACAGACAGACAGACAGACAGACAGATAGATAGATATTGTTGTGGTTAGCCAGCAGCAGGTGCAGACAGTGGAGGAGAGCGAGGACTCGGATGAGGGAGAGAGATAGAGATGATAGATATATAGAGATAGCGATAGATGATAGATAGATAGATAGATAGATAGATAGATATGATAGATAGATAGATGATAGAGATAGAGATGATATAGATAGATAATAGAGATAGATATAGAGATAGAGATAAATAGAGAGATGATAGAGAGATAATAGAGTAGATAGATATAGATAGATATAGATGAGAAATAGATAGATATAGATGAGAGATAGAGGTAGAGATAGATAGATGATAGAGATAGACAGAGATAGAGATAGAGAGAGATGATAGAGATAGATAGACAGATGGACGGATGGAGGGATGGATGCAGGGGTGGGACTCAATTTTTTTAACAACCGGTTCTGTGGGCGTGGCTTAGTTGGTGGCGTGGCTTGGTGGTCATGTGACCAGGTGGATGTGGCTTGGTGGTCATGTTATTGGCTGGGCATGGCCAACTCAATAACACTCACATCAAGGCACTCATCTCCTCGCCTGGCCTCTCATGACTGTGGGGATGCTGCAGCAGTCGTAAGTGTGAAAAATGGTCATAAGTCACTTTTTTCAGTGCCATTGTAACTTTGAATGGTCACTCCACACAAGCAAAGTACCCGCAAAGGAGGGAAAAAAAAACTCTAGAGACGTTCCTGAGACAGGAAGTCTAGTCCTGCCAAGAATGTAAGAAGGGTTAACGGAGAGGCAGTTTCTGTAAGCAACCCCAGAATGTTTCCTTCCTGCCTTCCTTACAGGATTAGGCCAGTAATTTCTTCTAACAACCGGTTCTCCGAACTGCTTAGAATGTTAACAACCGGTTCTAGCGAATAGGTGCGAACTGGTAGAATCCCACCCCTGGATGGATGGATAGATCCGGAGCACAGTGGCATAGTGCCTGTCTGTTCCTCATCTGACCACTGAAGGCCACAGAACTCTGCACCAAAGTAGCCTCTGGGCTCTTTTAATAATCATTTAATAATGGATCAGTTCTGTGCCACAGTTGGCCTCTTATTTTTAATCTAATGAAAAAGCAGCTTCTCAGCCGAAGGCAGCCCCTCCAATGCCCTTTCCTGGGCCGTGGTACTAATGCAAACACACACATGCGCATACATACCGGATGAAGAGCCTTAAATTGTAGCAGTAAAAAAAAGAGAAAGAGGGAGGAAAGGAGAATAAGTCAGGACCACTTTCCTCTGTGTGGGAAAACAGATCTAAATTCCATTCCAACCTAACATGAATGTGATCATTCACTTTCTAAACTGGGTGGGTGGGTGGCAGCCACATATAGTCCCAGTTCCTTTTTGTATTCCTCCCCCTCCTGCCCCATAAACTGTGGTGCCAAAATTCTGCTGCAAACTATCAAACGAAAGCCGTGCAAGTTTCTTAGGCAAATATTTGTTGTGGCTGTGCTGGGGATGGTGGTGGAGAAAGCAAAAAATGCAGAAGCCCCTTTAGAAAAAGGGGAAAGAATTCAAAACTGGAGATCAGGTTGCAATTGTTCTGTCCCTGTTCCACGGCTCCATTCTTCAGTCTAGGAAAGCTAACCATTAAAAAGCACCACTCTCTCCACCACCCGAAATCTCACCCTGAGACCCAAAAAGTAGGATTCCTTTGTCAATTTTCTTTGTTAGAATAGCTTATGCCCAGATTTATAACGAGGCACCCCCAGGGCTGTCAAATGTCAAGATAGCCACCATGATTATGCAACCAAAGCTCTCCCCCAACTTCCGTTTTACACACGGGGCTAATTGAACGATCCCCATCTTGGCTTGATGCTCCTCCCATCCTCAGCCCTTGACGCGGAATGGGACCACTCGCTGCAGCCCAGGCACCACGATCAACTCACTGCAGGATAATTCACTGTGGGACAATTTAACTATTCAATTTAATTATTTCAAATGATTTTAATCATTTTAATTTTTATCATTCGCATTTCATTCTGTCCCTCCTTTTGCATCCTTTCTTTAGTTAATAATATAAATAATAGTTCCACCGTTTCTTCGAGCTAGTTTAACTCTTGTCCCACAGTGAGTCAACCTGCGGTCATTTGGCCACGGCAAATTGTCATAGACCTCCCCCCCCCCCCCCCACCACGCCCGATTCAAAATGTGAATAGTATGTTTTTCAGAAGAGGCTGGACAGTCGCTTGTCTGAGATGGTAGAGGTTCTCCTGATTGAGCAGTGGGCTGGACTAGAAGACCTCCAAGGTCCCTTCCAGCACTATTCTATCCAAACCTTTCAAATCTACCTCCTCCCAACCCACAGGGACAGGATCTCTCCTCCAGGCAGAAGAGAAGAGTGGAGAGTCCTTTGTCAGGCAGAAAGAAAAATGTAAAAAGCCCAGTTTAAAGTCACAAGAATAAGGCATTTGTGTTTCAGATGGTCAAGGGGAGCCACAGGAAGAGTAATGTGGTGGCCTAGAGGTGGAGCTCTTGCCTCACAATCAGGAGGCTGGGAGTTTGATCCTAGGTAGAGGCAGATATTTCTCTCTCTGGGCACAACTGAACAAAACTCCACATTGACAACAGGAAGGGCATCCGGCCACTAAACACTCAGTTCCATTCAGTTGCCCAGACTCCACTACGCAAGGGATTATGGCAAGGGTCTTCCAACTTGGCAAGTTTAAGACTTGTGGACTTCAACTCCCAGAATTCCTGAACTAACATGACTAGAGGAGGAATTCTGGGAGTTGAAGTCCACAGGTTCTTAAAGCTGTCAATTTTGAAGAGCCCTGGATTATGGGGTTGTTAAAAGAAGATGATGAGATGAGGGAGAGCCACAGGAAGTTCCCACTCATGTTTGCTGTTGCTCCAACATGTTTGCTCCACAGGGAGTCGGAGTGTGGGAGCTGGAATATATGCCCAGAGTTAACCTTTCTGTGAAGGAGGAGGAAGGCAGCAGATACTCAAGGTGACTTACTCCACGTCTCGCTTGCGGATGGCTCTGCCAGAGCCCATGACGTCAGCCACTTTGGAGACCAGGGGGTCATAGTTCATGCTGGCCACGGCCAGCACCTCTTCACTCCTGGAAGAAAAAACTCAGGGCTCAGAAGTGGAGGTTAAGAGCCACTGCTACCAAGCCAGGGTGCATTTCCCACAAGGCAGGAGGTTCCAGTGGATCCCAAGGGAGTTTTCCCCAGGCACTTTGCTTTTTTTTTTGCACCCAGGTCTGCTGAGTTGACCCAACGAACTGAATGGGATGATATGAATGGAACACAAATGCTGACTAATTATATTCGCCTGACCCACTTCATTGGCTCAAAGAACAAGCTAGCAATCCCAGCATCTCTCATGATCAAAAAAGACAAGATGTCTTTTCAAACTCCCTTCTGCAGATGGAGCTGTCCAGCAGAAACAGACAGACTGCTTTCTTGAGGCAGCTGCTGTGCATTGTTGACTTATTTGAAATCTGTGGTCTACCAAGACACCGAGATCCCTCTTGCAAGTACAACTGCTAAGCCAGGAACTGCCTATCTTGTTTCTATTTAACTTTGGAACCTGACCCAAATGTGCTTTTTCAAGAGGCATAAGTGGACAAATCAGCTAAATGTTGGAAATGCCACCAGACACCTGGGTCAGATTACCATATGTGGTGGACATGTGTAGAAGCCAAAAAATATTGGACAAAAATACATACGTGGTTGGAGAAGATGATGCAACAGCACAGTGATTTTGAAACCCGAAATATTTTTGCTGGGGATTTTACCAGGAATTTATAGTAAAGAAAATGTATATTTGATTATTTGTGTATTAATTGCAACTAGAATTGTATTTGCACAAAATTGGAAAAGTGAAGAGATTCCTACAGATGAGAACGTGATTATGAAAATATTAGAACATGCAGAATTGAATAGGTCAACACTTGCAATTAAAGAGAAGGAACAAACTAAATATTATATGATATGGGAACTATTTTACCGATGGTTAGAGAATAAATATGAAAGCTAGAAATAAATGATTAGCAAAACATAAAAAATATATTAATAGAATTAAATAAGTTAAGATGATTGTTATAGTATTAGATATGTTATGTATATTAATATTAAGTTAAGAGTAGATAAATAATGAATATGGCTGTAAACTTTAATTGTTGTTGCACAAGATATCTGTACCCAGACGATACACTGTTTAATGGATTGTTTGTATGGGTTTGGATGGATTGTTTGTATTAAAATAAAATTTTTAAAAGTGACTTGTTTTTTCTTTGAGGACATTTTGCTTCTCATCCAAGAAGCTTTTTCAGCTCTATTATTATTGTTGTTAAACATAAAAATTCAGTGTCTACATAAACAGTGTGTTGTCTGGGTACAGTTAATTTTGAGAAATAATAATAGTAATAATAACAATAATACTTTTCACTTACTTACTTAGTAATAATCATAATAGTATTTCATCATAATAGTATTTGCTTGTCCATTCTAGTGAACCTTCCTTATGTAAATCATTCCCTTATACTTTTAAATTTATAACTTCAGTTTCTGTTAGTTACCCATTGATAAAATAAGTCCCATGTTAAAACATATCCAGTTTCTTCCTTCTCCTTAATTATGAGTGTTAAGCTTCTTCAGCTCTGACAGGATAGTGGGGAATGGAAGGATGGAATGGAAGAAAAACCAGAAAGTCCAGTTGCTTCCTGAAAAAGCACCTTTGGGACAACCAGGACTGAGAATCTCTACAGACTTTTAATTTGGGATGAAAACCCCTGGAATGGTGTAGGAATAGGAATGGATTTCCAGAGGGAAAAATTGCAGACTATAGGAACCATTTGTACCACTCAGGTAACCCCGAGGATACAGATAAACCTCCAAGTGGCCTGAATGACCCTCTAAAAGGATGCAAATGACCAGCTGCCTGCAAGGAACATAAATCCTTCCATTCCCTATCATCCAAGTCAGAGCTGAAGAAGCTTCTGGAATGAGAAGTGAAACATCTTCAAAAGAAAAACCAAGAAAGTCCAGTTGCCTCCTGAAAAAGCACCTTTGGAACAACCATGACCTGGATGACAGAGAATCTCTACAGACGTTGGGAACCTGACGTTTCTCACCACTGAACAAGGATGCTGAACTGGATGCAGCCCAATATTCAAGTCAATCAAAATTCTTTTGACCTTTGGAAGCCTGGAATGGTCCTTGGTGAGCTTCTTCAAAAATGTTTTTTTTTTAGTACCATGTTTCTCAACCTTAACAATGCGGGATGATCTTCCATCTCAGAATTCCCAGCTATGCAGGCAGGAGAATTCTGGGAGTCGAAATCCACCCATCTTAAAATTGCCAAAGTTGAGAAACACTGTAAATCTGGAGTTTCGTGGCCAAGATAATAAAATAAAATAAAATAAAAACTTATATTATTCTTGGAAGCCAAAATCAATTGCACAGATTCAGCCAGCTTCTGTAACATCAATACACAAGCAGCTGTATTTGCTTATCACAAACTAAGCATAATTTTGCAACACCTCATCATGGTGGTTTTTAAATTAAAGCTTTTCATGGGCACTTACTTAGTGTAAAAGGCTACAAATTTAAGTTCGTCTAGGTCTCCCCGAATAATCACATCATCAAATCCTTCTCCATGACCTAGAAAAGAAAACCAATGTGTATCTGTAGGAAGCACTAAGTTTCTTTTTCCTATGTTAATCTATGTTAGTCTGACATCTTTAACCTATTTTTACACTTTAAAAAGTGTAAAAATATGTTATAAGAAAATAATTAATACTGCACATGCATAAATATATTTAGAGCATTCTGAAATAAAGACACATTTTTAAAATGTATTTCACCACATTTTTTATGGAGCACTGCATTGCAATGTGGAGAAAACAAGGAGAATTTTGCTGTGAAGTGCAGGTAAGCCGACAAGGTGCAGAGTTCGCTCCCTTCTGATCAAGAGTGGAGAAGAAGACATTTTAAGGCACCCTAAATTTGATGCTTTCTCCAGCCTTTCAAATCTGGGCTTAATTTCATAGCGCGAAGTGTACATAGATACAAGACTTCTGCATTTCTTCCACGCTTTCTGAGGAAGAAACGTGATATCTGTGGATTTTGCCAATCTGCCTGAGTGGATTCTTTTTTTTAATTTTATTTATCCAATGTATGTGGCCCCTCCACCTTAATGAGTGACTGTCTGGGCAGCAAACAGAATGTAATAAAAACAATAATGAACATTACAAGAGTTAAAATACAATATACGTACCGGAGAACATCAAACAGCTCCCCACCTCCCAAAACCAGAAAGGCAACCAAGAAGCAGGTCTCGGCACACTGTCTAATCCTAAACTTTTCTTCCCTCACCTGCATAGCGAATACTTTTGCCAAACATGGCAGTCCACAGGTAAGGGACGGTGTTGATTTCGGTCCCATAGGCCAGCATGTTCAGTGCTGCTATGCGCCCTGGGATGCAATAGAGAATGTAACAGAGAAAGTCAACCAGGCATATGAATTAGGGTCTTTAGAGCAACATCAAAAGTGCACTTGTTCATTATTCAAATGGTGTAAGCCAGCGTTTCTCAACCTTGGCAACTTTAAGATGGGGGGGCTTCAACTCCCAAATTCCCCAGCCTGGGGCAGAAGGGTGGGGGGAGAATCAGCATCATTGGATTCAGGCCAGTGGTGGGATTCAATTTTTTTTTACCAGTTTGGGGGGTGTGGCTTGGCTTGGTGGGCGTGGCAGGGGAAGGGTACTGCAAAATCCCCATTCCCTCCCCACTAACCCGCTTTCCAGCTCCGTTCTCCTGTGCAGGGCAACCAAAGGAGACCCAGCCAATCAGATGGGACTCAATGGGAGGCAGAGAAGAGATGGGGTTGGCGGGGCCAGTCAGAGGTGGGATTTGCTGGTTCTCCGAACTACTCAAAATGTCCACTACTGGTTCTCCAGAACCAGTCAGAACCAGCTGAATTCCACCTCTGATTCAGGGGCCCCCTCGTGCCCCCCCGCCCCCCGCGATATGTTGACTGCCCTAAACTACATGGAAGAACCAAGACTGACTGCAGCTACCTGCACCGTTTGCGAAGGGCTTCCCAGGACTTCCAGGGGGGAAACTGAGACTTCACTTCCACGACAACAACACCCACCGTGCATGTGAGCCATCTGCCAGTGTGGAACGTTGGTCTTCTTGTGGTTCCTCAGTGCCAAAGGAAAGACCACTGCGTCGCCTGCAGCGAAAACTCCTGGAATGTTGGTCTGCATCATCTGGAAGGGAGAGAAGAGTGCTGTTGGCGGGGTGGTGGTGGCTTGCAGGGGGGGCAGGGAATGGTCTATTGTAGGAGGAAAGAGGGAGGGAAGGAAAGAGGGAAGGAGGGAAGGAAGGAAAGAGGGAGGGAGAGAGGGAAGGAAGGAAGGAAGGAGGGAGGCAGGGAAGGAAGGAAGGAAAGAGGGAGAGAGAGAAGGAAAGGAAGGAAGGAAGGAAGGAAGGAAGGAAGGAAGGAAGGAAGGAAGGAAGGAAGGAAGGAAGGAAGGAAGGAAGGATAACAGAATAAGAGTTGGAAGGGATCTTGGAGCTCTTCTAGTCCAGCCCCTGTTCAAGCAGGAGACCTTATACCATTTCAGACAGGTGGCTGCTCAATCTCTCTTTAAAAACCTCCAGTGATGGAGAAGGAAGGAAGGAAGGAAGGAAGGAAGGAAGGAAGGAAGGAAGGAAGGAAGGAAGGAAGGAAGGAAGGAAGGAAGGAAGGAAGGAAGGAAGGAAGGAAGGAAGGAAGGAAGGAAGGGGCAAAAAGGAAGGAAAGCGAGGGAGGGAAGAAAGAGGAATATAAGACTTCTGCATTTCTTCCACACTTTCTAAGGAAGAAATGTGATAGCTGTGGATTTTGCCAATCTGACTGAGTGGATTCTTTTTTAAAAAAAATGTATTTATCCAATATATATGGCCCCTCCACCTTAATGAGTGACTCTCTGGGCAGCAAACAGAATGAAATAAAAACAATAATGAACATTACGAGAATTAACAGAAGGAAAGAAGGGAGGGAGGGAGGGGCAAAAAGGGAGGGAGGGAAGGAAGGAGGGCTAGAAGGACAGGAGGGAGGGAAGGAAGGAACGAAGGAGGCAAGAAAGGAGCAAAAGGAAGGAGGGAGGGAAGGAGGGGGGGAGATGGATGCACTATCAATAGATTGTTTCAAAAGACAGGCAAAGCAAGCAGACTGAATCATTTCCTTAACTTTTTCAGTAGCAAATATGACTATTTGTCCAACCTCTTTTAAAAAATGCAACAAGTCAAGTGATCACTAGAGGTAGAGATGCTGAGGAATACCTGCAAGTTTCTTTAGGTACTTCTCCACAGCTAGCATCATTTAATTTTTATACCAGTTGCATCCTGATAGTTTTGGTTGAGTTTTTAATGGACAGCCCTATGACACTTCCTGGTTTTCAGCTGCACAAGGGAAGCAAATAACTAAGAAATGGTTTGGTTCTGACTGAAGCAAGCAGAGCTGCCTTGTCCTTGGGCAAATATGGACAGTGAGAAAGGTAACCCAGCCCTGCTCTGGAAACAACACAGGGAGCCTGGCTTGTGAGGAAAGGAATGGGCTGCAGAACTTGCAAAGGGGCCGCTTTCCTTGGGCAAGATTTATAGCCCTTCCACATCTCCCCACCTCCACCCCTGGAGTGGCCTGGTTATCAGCAAAGGAGGGTTACATATTAATGAGGATTAACATTATTGGAGACGCCTGCTAAGACAAAAGAGGAAAATAATTACCTGGTTGGGGTTAGAACTGGAGGTTTGTTACCTTGCAGCTCACAAAAGTAAATAGGAAGATTAGTTTGTCTGGGCAGCCTCTCTTCCAAGGACTAATTAAACATGTGGGTCAATCACAGGACAGATATTGAAATATAAATGGATATTTTCCAACCCCTGGGCACTGCTGTGTTTTCCACAACTGCGTAGCTTGAATTGCATTTTTATATGACTTTAAACAGATCTGCTGCTAATTTCTTCAAAAACCGAAGCTCGGCGGCAGTGGGGTCTTTGCGAAAGAATAGAATAGAATAGAATAGAATAGAAGAGAAGAGAAGAGAA